TTTTGGGTCTACACCAGATGCAATGAAGTGTGGAAATTTACCGCTTGTTCTTTTCTTCAACTTCATGACAGTGACACTTTGGCAACACCTTGCGGTGTGTAGCAAAAACTACAAGCACGAACAACTCGAGGCACGTGTTGAGGCATACATTGAGCGCAGGAAAAACATGCGGCACCGTCGACCAGAACATAAGACACCAATTCGGATGCGTTGTGACGTGCGCATGGGTCTGATGTCGATCAAGCCAATACTTCCGCATGAACTATTCGTGTTTATTGGATTATTGCTTGCTCGACCTGTTCAGCCCAATGGAGAGAAGATGGCTAACCATTGGAAACGATAGAATGAAGGAGCCATATCGAGAGGCAATTTCAATCATGTCCTGAAGCGAAATCGCTTTATGGAGATTTCCCGCAATCTACACTTCTCTAGTAACCTGGACCCACGTGCCAAGCCTGACAGAGCCCGGAAAACCCGAAAGCTGGTGCATGTGCTGCAGCGAACATTTCGCCGTGACTTCATTCCTTCTGCTGAACTTGCTTTTCACGAAGCAATACCTCCATCACGCTCCTCCAACTCGTGTGTACATGAAGGAGAAGCCGTGTAAGCGGGAGGGGGGGACAAAGTTGTTTATATTATTGTATCAGGCACGCATTATTCAAGTTGGAATTGGTAAGCTGTATAATACATCAAATGAGGTGCTGTATCTGTATGCTGTATACTATAGGTTTGATGTCTACGTTGGCAAGAAGCAGTGCATTGACGCCGCAACCTCCGTGGATAAGAAGTCCAGGCCTGCGACGGTTGTTCGCAACCTGAAAGCAACTTTTCCTGATGGCCAAGACAAGTAGTTCCGGCTTGTGCTGATAGATCGATTCTATACGAGTGTTGTCCTTGCTATCTAGCTTCTGTTGATGGTGTTTTACATGGTCGGGACGATAATGACAAACCGCCTTGGTTACGCCACGAGTACCAAGGAAAAGAAGAACAACAGGACGAAACGGTCCAAGCACATCATGTGATTCACCTTCACGTACGTCCGATCGAAGCAGGTCGCCTCTTCGTGACCAAGTAATCGAATTTGTCTGACCACCCGGTCCGATGAGTCGTAAAAGACGACATATTAGACTACGAGAGGCCGTAAGAAGTCCGTAAAAAGATTTGGCTACACCATTCGGATGTACTTACAATTTGTTTGAATTATGGCAATAGAAGGTAGCCATCAGATAGCACCAACGATACAGCGACCCCACAGCACTGCTATCTCACAGGCATGAATGCCGACTAAGCCGCTGAGTTCATCGCGACGCACAAGATCTTTAAGAAGCTCGCGCCTCTCCTTGATGACAGAGAACGTAACCGCATCGAGCGCTCGTCGTATCACATACGCAGGTGCATTCATGGTGAAAGCGAGAGACATCAAAAGCTGTGAATACTACCACACGCACAGACTTGCATATGCTACGAGTAGTGGAGAGAGAAGCTATATTAACACGTGCTAGCACGAGATAGTGTGTTCTAGATTCTATATGTGATATAGCTTGCTGTTGGCAGACGTACTTAATGAGGGAACCGAACCTATGATAGCTTGCGTTGACCTCACTTTTCGATTTTGCGTCTTCAAGCCTCGATCCTTGGGACCTCAACCGTGTAGCACCGCCAAAACAAGAAGCTGCAATGAATACATTCGCACGAGTGCACTATCTCCGTGAATTTATATCAACTATTCAACCTGCTCAGGAGGTGGTTGCCACGCTAACGCAGTGCTGTATCTCGTCTAAGCGGCTTCATGGGGACCGTTGAGTTCGCGTCACTGCTGTAGACGACACCGGGTCGACTGGGAACACATAGCTGCTCTGTTACGCACCCTCGAGCCACTAAAGCGGGAACCTCACGTCGCCGAGATCATCGTCTGGGATGCCAACACGACACCAGATCCTTTTGCTCGGCGCAACATTGACTTTCGTCCTGGCGCAGTGTATGTGTTTCACGAAGTCGAGCGTCTTGGGAATTTTGACGGAAGAGCCGGAGGTGCTGTTCAGTACGATGTGGACGATGCGAACAAGATTCGAGAGATTGCTCTGCCCGTGATCGAGCCGCATGACTGGTAGTGATTGGCTGTACAACGGCGTCGCCTTGACAATTCGATGACAGTGTTTCTGACTATTTTTGAGCGCCATGCAAATGTTTTGAGCTACTGCTAGTTCATGCATAATAGCTTCGAATACGCGTAGCGCGTTGCAAACACAGTGTAAATATCTAACACAGTTGTAGACACTTCGATGCCGCTTTGTCGAAATAGTTTTCGTTGATCTTTGGCTGAATATTTGCGTGTAGTTGCGTAAACCTAGCGTAGATGAGGGAAGTGACTTGCAATCCGAAAACATTGCTTTGCATGTGCTTCCGAGGGTACTGCAAGATGAGCAGAGTGACTGGATTTTCCTGCAAACGGAAACGCACAAATCTATAAGTATTTCATGGGTGACACAAGCAATGACATGGATCCGGATATACAAAAAAAACAACAATAGGCAGAAGGTTGCGTGCAACAGCAGCCGACTTGCGTGGCATGGTCACTGTGCTGAGATTAACAGCACGCCAGGTTCTTTCACCTCCACAGCAAGCGCTGCAAATATCAACAATGGGAGTGATGCAAGGGTATCACTTGCAGTAGTTTGGCCATTTGCATTTAGCTGAAGATCTATGCGAGATTTCCTCAATCGA